AACAGAAAGATTTTTGTAGTTAATATTTCTCAACATAAGGAGTTTTGTATTTATGAATAAATATGAGATTTAATTTGAAGAAGTACTTAGTATTTGGATTGATAATGTATTTAATATAAAACAAGATATTAATATAATATTTTAAAAATAAAAGCAAATTATTTTCTAGATAATTTTTTATAGAAGATTTTAATAATTCAGAAGAATAATTATATGATTTAAAAAATGTTATAGTTTGTGTTAATTTAAAAAGTAAGGTGAAGCTGCAAATGCATTTTCTATTAAGTCAATAGTAAATTATCATATTGCTTTATAATAACTTCTTGCATTTTATAATTCTGAAGATATTTATAAGACTAACTTTTTCTAAAAAATGGAACCTTCTAGAGTTTTAGCACAAACTCTTATATCAGGTTATAAAAAAGAAAAATTGCATATTATAATATTTTATTGTATAAATACAACTGGTACTGAAAAATAAATCTCATATTTATTCATAAATACAAAACTCCTTATGTTGAGAAATATTAACTACAAAAATCTTTCTGTTTATTATTTTTAGAATAAGAAAGCATAGATGTAAATTAGTATTTTTAACGAAATTCTTTTTAAACTTAATAAAATAATGAAATAAAAAAACAAAAAATTATTTTTTCAATTGGTAATGCATTAGTACATCTTATGTTAGATAAAACTTAAAAAAAATTAGATAATGTAAAAGTGCAATTTTTCTACCAAATACTACTATTAAACTTCAATTACATAATGCAAAAATTATTCATTTTTTCAAGTATCATTATAAACGTCTTTTTATTTAAAATCAAATTAATACATATGATAATATACAAAATGATATTATAGAAGAGCTTGATAATTATATTATCTATAATACTTTAAAAAATACAACTAAAGTATAGTCAATAGTATTATCACAAATAATTTGAATTGCTAGAAAAAACAGGTATTTTTTCATTAAATAATGAAATTGATAAATTTAAAAACTATGATACAGTAGTTTCTAATAGGTATAGTATAATTAATATTATATAATATAATATTATGTATGATAATTTTCTAATACATATTTATTTATTTAGTTTTGATATAGAAATTGATGAGCTTAATATGTTACTTTTTCAACTTTTAAAAAAAGATCTTAATGCATATAAATATATATATTAAGAGTGAAATGTCAAAAGGTGAACTTACTAATGATGAAATTATTGATACAGTTAAATACAAATAAAGAAGAGGAAAATATAGATAAAATTGAATTTATGCATATATTAGAAAAAGTTAGTCTAATAGAAGCTGAAAATTTTATAAGTAAAATCTAAGATTTTTATATAAATAAGAATGCGAATTTAATGAAGTAATTGAAAATTAAAGGTTTTAAGAAGATTACATAAATGGGTTAAGCTAATTGTATAAAATTTAAAGCAAGTTGATCTTCATTACTTTAATATTAATAATATAGTTGAATAGTATAATATTATTACACAAATTTTAAATAATATAATATTATGCAATTTATAAATATAACAATATATATAACTCTATATACTGAATAGTTCAGTATATTATATAATAAATTCATCTTATATTAAACTAAATCCTACGAAATAGAAGGTTCATTATATCTAATAGTAATTGTATATATTTTATATGTTTTAATGTTCTGGTATTTATCATTCAAATTTTAAGTTAATATATAATTAGTCTTATTTATAATACTTATACTCTAGACTTAATAATAGTTTTCCCTAATTTATATCTTATTATATAATAATGTGACTATATAAATAAATATTTATTATATTAAATATTAATCTAATAATTAGTTTAATAGTAATTATAATTAATATATGATTATAAAAAGGATTTTTATATTTAAAAAATCAGAACAAAAATAAAGTTTGTTTATAAAGAAGATGTGATTATATAAAGTATGATTATATAGAAGGTTGATTGTATTACTAACTTAAAAACTTTAATTTATTAAAATATCAAAAGTAATATACTATTAATTTTTAATTAATTATTATGTAATTCAAAAACTAACCAATTAAATTTATATATTTATTAATTTATATAATATATTATTTATATAATTAATTTTATTTAGATTAAATTTAAATTAATAATGATACATATAATTATTAATCAATAATAAGAATAGTATATTACTATTAAAAATAATTATAATAATAAATATATTAATACATATAGCATAAAAAATGTAATTTTATTTCAAAATTTTTAGTTTTACTTAAATTCTTAAGCACTTTAAAAATAAATAGATAAAATAAGATAAAAATATTTTAGGAAGTAAATCTTTTATACTAAAGTTATATATCTTAGAAAAAATAGATTATTTCTTAAAAATGCAATTTATTTAATTAGAAATTATATTAAATAGCTAAGTAATAAAAATATAATAGAAATATAATAGAAATCTAATAAATATAATGCAGGAAGTCTATACTTAATAATATAAATGTAATGCTTAAAAATCTTTTAACTCTTTAAAAAAATAAAATTTAAAAAAAAATAATATGATAACTTTATTTTTTGAGATAAATTCTATTAAATTATTAATTAGTTTTTCAAAATAAGTTTTATATAAAAAGTTATAAGCATTTAAATTAAATAATTTTATATGATCATTTTAAATTTAAAATATATATTATTGATTAAAATTTATGATAATTTGAACTAGTATTATAGTAATTAATTATAATATTAGTCTAAATTATTATAATTTTAAAATGATACACAAAAAAAATGATTAATATTTCATTTTTTATTGATCAATTATTTATTAATCATATAATGTAAAATTCACAAAAAATTTTAAAATATTAATAAATTAAAACTTCTGATACTATATATAATAAAGATAAAATAACACATTTATAATATATAAATGTGTAAGTTAAGATACAATAACTTATTACTATTTTTGATCTTATCAATTCTCTTTGTTCATTATTAATAAAAGCTATTAATAATATGTGAACTATTTTAAAATTATAATTTTAAGTATATTAAAATAAATCTTAAAAATCTTTGGTTAAGAAAGAGTTTAGTCAAAGCTTATTATAGTGAATCTCATTATAATAAACTCTCATTTTAAGGAATTTTTTTATTTATTATAATTCATTTTTCTATAATAAATTTTACTTAACATAGTGAACTATTAGTAAAATTTTATTATAATAAACAAAAATTGTTAAAACTAAAAGTTTATTATAATAAGCTTTGATTATATAGAATAAAGAAGTTAATCTATTTTTTTTCATAAAAAGAAAACTAAAAATGCAAAATATAGTGAAATTTAAGTTAAATATAAAATAAGATAAAAAATTATAACTTTATATTTGACACTACATAACTTAGCAATAAATCAGATAATAAAATTAAAAAAATACACATTTTTTTCAGTATATTATATTACTTTGATAGTTAAAAGGTCATAGTGTTTTACTAATAAAAAAACTATAAGAATAAATTCAAAGTAAGCAATCAATATTGCAAGTTAGAAAAGTATCCAGAAATTAAAATGCAGGAGGTAAGTACCCTCAATATAAAATTTAGCACCTAATTAGGTATAGAGAGTTAGTACCTTTAACACAAAATCTGCTCATAAATAGATAAAAACAGGAATAGTTAGATTAAAGAGGGTGAGTAATAATTAGATCATAAAGTAGTAATAAAATCATACCAATACAAAAACACGAATAGCAGAAAAGAACTAAAGAAGCAACTAGAGCACAAAAGAGATAACCAGCAAAATATAATATTTGCATAAAAAGAGAATAGATATTAGACCATAGAGTGGTATCAAGTTATAGAATGGTATTCCACGACTTCATAATCTATCTAGGTTATAGAGTGATACTATAACCTAATCAAAGTGGTATACCACTTCATCATTATTGAGCACAACATCTGTCTTTACTAATTTAGCCTAATAGTAATATAGAAGTAGCTGATCGAGAAATCACGTGATAATAGCCAGTATATTCATAATATTAAATATAACAATCAATAAGATTTTAAAGAAGACTACTTATAAATTTGATAAAAAGAATGATGACCTTTGGAAAAAGTTTAAAGATAAAACAGACGCTTTCACTTACAGTCTCCAACTTCATATAAATGATCAAAATATTAGGTGGACACAGAAATAACTGAACAAATCTTGGGACTTGTTAAAATATATATATCAATCAAATGAAAAGGCAACATAAACGAAGACCACCCGAAATTCTATACATAAAAACTTTATATAATATAAAGAGAACTATAAAAAAAGCTTAGAAAAGCCTCTACATTTCTAAATTTTAGCAAAAAAAAAAATTCATCATTTATCTACTGTTAGTTATAATACCACCTGATCTGTTTATTTTAAAGATAATATCCGTGAGATAAACAAAATAAAGAAATATTTGATTGGAATGTGACGCCTGTAAAGATATGAATAAATTACTTTCCCAGACTCTGATTCAATCGGAGACTGATTCGATAATGTTGTTTAAATACCTATTAAGTTTTACGCAAAGTCGAATAATGAAATCTCTTTCAGGGGTCAAGATATGTATTTATATTTTTAGAATGATAATTATTATGTGAAATATATAACAAATGAAATGTAATTTTTGCTTAATAAATTAATAAATTTCAATTACGATAGAATAATGAGAATAGAATTTGTTTAAAAAAAAATTTGTCTGGTTCTTTACAATTAACTCCGATTTCCGGCTTTTTTTTCATTGAAAGCTACTATTATAAATAGTACATGACATCATTAAATCATTTCCAAGACATCACCAAGGGATGTAATTATGAGTTTTTCTTATTTTAGTAAATCATTTTTTTTACATATTTAAAGAATTTTTTTTTTGCAATTTTTTTTCAATTTCAAAATCTTTTAATTTATAATACACTTTTTTCAAAATGTCATTTTTAACGAAAGAACAACTTGGTAAGAGATTAATTAATTTTGATTATATATTATTTATTCAACGTTATTTTTTTTTTTCTAATACTATTTTCTTATTACAGATAAATATGTTAGAGATTTAGCTTTAAAGAACCCTAAACCGACGTCTTCAAATACGCCAAGGAGTCCATTATTCAAATTACCTCAAAATAGTCCAAGTCCATCAACAAATAGCTCAACAATATCGGGAGAAAGGAAGGCTGGTGCACTTCAAGGACCACGATCTCCCCCTGTTTCTCAACGAAATAGTTTAACCGCTACTATTTCACCTAGAACACCCGTTGTTAATAATAATTACGAAAATTCTTCAACAAATTCAAATGAAACTACAATTACGTCTATTCCTGAATCGACGAAGCCAGACTCAGTTTTTAATAATTCTTCAACTATAACTTCAGATTTCTCTATTTCAAATGATGATAAAGAAAAAAAAAAGTCTACTTATAAAAATATCGATGAGATAGTAAATGATCTTTCTTATCCTATGGAGACCAAATTATCATTTAAACCTACTACACCACCTCCTCAATCATCATTTAAATCTACTACACCACCTCCTCAATCATCATTTAAATCTACTACACCACCTCCTCAATCATCATTTAAACCTACTACATCACCTCCTCAATCATCATTTAAACCTACTACATCACCTCCTCAATCAAAATGCAACAATAGTACGCCACCTACAAAGGGACCAGATGATCCAACAAAGGGTAGTTATGTTTTATCTGCTGCATTTAAATCATATGGAGCAGCATCTAGGACGCCAAGCGTAAAGAAATCGGCTACGCCAACTTCACCAAAACAAGAACAGCGCGAAATAGCATCAAATAAAAAACAACGTGATTCCACAATACAAGAATTACAAAATCGTTCGGGTACTAATTGGGGTGCTCGTTATGATGAAGCTCAACAAAAATATCCTCCTCTTGATAAATTAGATAATAAACTTACTACACCACCATCTTCTACTTCAAAAAAGCAAGGTGACAATAAGAATAATGAATCTGTAGAAGGAAGTCATCAACAAAACTTAAAACCTTTAACATCTAACAATAAACCAAATTCACTTGATTGCGCTGCTTGTGGTAATTTAATATCGGGTAACATGTTAACTGCTATGGGTAAAAAATGGCATCCCGGTCATTTTGCTTGTAAACAATGTGGTATCTCTTTGGAACATGTCGCTTTCTTTGAAAGGGATGGTAATCCTTATTGTCATTTGGATTATCATGAGCTATTTAGCCCTAAATGCGGACATTGTGACACGCCTATTGAAGGAGTAAGCTTTCATCTTTTAAGATAAGAAGGAAATATTCATAGTTAAAATTTATAGATTACTAATTAAAGTTTTCTATTTAACAGAAATCTATTTCTGCTCTTGGAAAATCGTGGCATCCAGGACATTTCTTTTGTAGAGAATGTGGTAATCCTTTTGAAGGTGGTTTCATGGTTCATGAAGGTTTTCCATATTGTGAAAAGGATTGGACAAAATTATTTGGTTAGTACATTAAAATAATTTTATACATATAAAAAATGATAATAATAGTTTTTTTTTTTTTAATTAAATTATTTAGCTCCAAAGTGCTTAGGATGTAAAGAACCTATTAGAGGAGAATTTATTAATGCTTTAGAAGGAATGTGGCATAGAAATTGTTTTGCTTGCATGGTTGGTTAATTATATTGTTAAAAAATTAATTTTTTCTTTTTTTAAAAAACGTTATTTTAACTAATTGTTAAATTATTATTATTATTATAATAGACTTGCAAAGAACCTTTTCATGATTCATATTTTTTTACTCATGAAGGAAAACCATATTGTGAGAAACATTATAGAATCATAATGTCTAACGTATAAATAAAATGTTTTATTATTTGGATTTACAATCATTGAACATTTAATCAATTAAAAATAAAGAACAATTCGTATTGTTTATAATTGTAATAAGTATATTAGCAGATTATTTTGAAAAGAAACAATTTTTGGATGTTAAGACATCAAAATAAAATTATTTATTACTTTGTTTTGATAACTAAATAAATTATTGAAGTTCTTCAATTAAATTAGTATAATCACTAAGGTTTTGTTCATTATTTTTCATAAATAATTCAATATTTTTTTGATCTTTCTTATAATCCTTCACTTCTTTTAACTGTTCTTGTTTTTCTAATTCTACACCATCTCTTAAAGCCTCTAGAAACGTTGAACCTAATTGTTGAGATAAATAATTAACATACACTATATAAAAATAAATTTTCTTTTCCGTAAAAAATGCTTTTTGATTAATTTTTCCGTTTTTTGACTTTGATTTTCCAACAAGTTGAAACAATCTGTATAAGTCTGATAAAGCTGCCAAGATATTACTAGTTGAAGAAAGCAAATTAATGATATCATCTAAAATGAGAAATGAAAATTCGTGTGGTTGATTATAAATAGGATTCTAAACGAAATAAATTAATAATGAGAATTTTGGTTTTTTTTTTTTTTTTTAATAAAAATTTAAAAAAAAATTTTATAAGAAATGTCAAACCTGAACAATTAATGAGGAACTTGCAGCAATAGCTTGAGATATACTTTCATATGCCAAATTCTCTTTGGTAGCTAAAATAGGAGATAAATCCCATAACACTTTACAAGATTCCTCTGGAATTTCAAAGATATCTCCATTAAAAGTACGACAAGCATATGCATAAGCATATCTATTTATAATAAAATTTTGTTAAGGAATTTGAACTATGATAACAAAATTTTCTCAAATACCGTAATCACATCATATAAAAAAGATACAATATATTTAACAAATTTAAAGATATAGCAGGATTCGGAGATGTTTTAGTTAAATCCTCTAAACTTTTAATTTCCGTTAAGATTGGAGGTCTATTGGCAAAATAACCGCTACTATCATCGCTATCATAATCAAATTCATCTTCGTCTTCATCCAACTCAATTATTTTTGATGATGTGCTTTTTTTTCTACGATTGTTATATTCTGATGATGCTTCCCACCATGGTTTCCATAATTGTAGTTCATCTGCAAGTTCCAAAAGATTTTCTGATCTTCCTTTAATGTATTTTTGTTCAAAATCTCGTCGTTCTGCTGGTGTCAATTTATTCAAAATTGTTTCAACATCAGCGGAATCTGGTTTTAAGGAAAGAAAAAGGACGATTTATCATATAACATTGATAAAATCATAATTCAAATCAATAACCAAATTATTTTTACCAAGATCTATATTTTTAAATCGTTCAGCAAAATCGTCAACTGCGTGTTTAAGAGAATTAAAATTCAGTTTTTCTAGTATATAAAAAGATGAAAAAATTTTAAGCTAATAAACCTTCGTCATCTTGCTCCATGGCTTCTCTTGCCATCTCATCATTTTCTTGTTCAAATTTTCTCAACATATCAAACATCTTTTGTTTTTGATCATCATCTATACGATTAGAATTTATTTCTTCGATTACACTATCTTTGTAAAAAGATTCTGTACAAGTTGAATGAATCTAAATATCAGGAAAAAAAAAAAAAGTTAGAAACGTAATGACATAAAGAAAGGAAACTTTTAATAAGTACCTCATTTTTATAACAACTCAAAGAACAATATTTTATATTGCACCTAGGACATGTATATTTCGGTATTTGTTTTTTACATCTGAAAATAAAATTGAATAATTATATGATTTTTATTATAAAATTAAGATTTTTTTATATAAATGTGAAAGTAAATTTACATGCCACAAATTTGAGCATAACTTTCTTCTACATCTGAATCATCAGAATCGTGAATTAAATTGAAAATTTTCGACATTTTTCATATGAGAAAATATAGACAAAAAATTCATTTTTAGTTAATTTTGTTAATTTTGTGATCCACAGAACCAGTGCTAATTTAGTAATCTTTTCTGGAAAATTACTTTAAAAAACGATACTATGATTAAAATTAACGCGACTATAAAGGCGCGTGAAAACTTCCCGATACGTTATGTTTTGGTATTACAGTATAATAATAATAAATACTATTTAAAAAAAAAAGTTTGATCTTTAACTCTTTAGTATAATAAATTTATGAACATGGCCTACAAATATTCAGGTATATCACTTGTGGTTTTCAAAGTTAAAATTATTTTTATTTATTTTTTTAATTTTGATTAGCTACGGATCAAATTGCTTCGAATGAAGCTTCATATGGTGATAAAAGGTCCCGAAAAGTAAAAACTGATTATAAAGACTCTGATTCGATATATAATTCAGGAAAATCTGAAAATAAGGACAGAAGATATTCTCGGTCATTCATAAGTGTAGGCAAAAAGGATTTGCGCAATCTCGCGATACTTATATTAGTTGCATTCATTGTGAGATTATATCGAATCGACCAACCTACTTCAGTGGTGTAAGTATTATTTTTCAATTATTCTTTATTTAGAAGCTAAAGATGTCATACGTGTTTTAATATTCTAAACAGATTCGATGAAGTACATTTTGGTGGGTTTGCAACGTATGTACAAGTTTTGTTAAATTTCCAATGTTTTATTGATATCTTTGATAGATATTTAATTCTCTTCTTTTTAAATAGAAAATACATAAGAGGAAGGTTTTTTATGGATGTACATCCACCATTAGCAAAGTTACTTATCACGCTTGCTGGTTTATTGGGAGGTTTCGATGGAAGCTTTGATTTTAAAGAAATTGGCAAGTGAGTTCCAAATTATTATATTTCCTTAAAAAGAAATATCTCTTTTATTATTATGGTTATTATTGAATTTCGATTTTTTTTTTTTAAAAAAAAAAATTAGGGATTATTTGGAACCTAAAGTACCATATGTAGCAATGCGTCTAATGCCCGCTTCTCTGGGGATTTTCCTAATACCAATTTCTTATTTAACCATTAAGTTATCAGGATTTAGTAGTGCTGCATCATTCTTAGTAGCTACCTTAATAATATTTGGTAAAATATATAATACATTTTTTTATTTTTATTTTTATTTTATTTTTTTTACTTTTTATTTTCAATCGTTAATTCGAATTTATTTTGAATCATTAAGAAAATGGATTGGTAACTCAAAGTAGGCATATTTTATTGGACGCACCTCTTGTTGCTTTCACTGGTTTTACAATATTAATGTGGGTGAAATTTCATAACGAACAAAGGAGGTATGGCTTAATTTTTATTTATTTTTTTCTAATTACCTATTTAACTTAACATTTACTGACCCACATTATTTTATTGAATGTCACAAGACCTTTTCAATTTCGTTGGTGGGTTTGGATGGCAATGACTGGTGTAGGACTCGGACTTACAGTGAGGTTTGTTTGTAATTTAATATATATGGATAAAATATTTGTCATTTATATTTCTGGTTTATATTTTTTTTTATAGTTGTAAATGGGTTGGACTTTTTACAATTGCTCATATTGGTGTCTCAACAATAAAGGGTTTATGGGATTTACTTGGTGATTCAAGAATAACGTTGGTAAATATAACTTGAATATTCGGCAATTATTTGATTTTATTTTTTAGGCAGATGTTTATAAAGGTTATTATAATTTTTTTGTTCCAAGACTCAATGGGCAAAACATTTTTTCGCCCGAGCAATATGCTTAATTGTGATTCCAGTATCATTGTATTGTTTATTTTTTGCTATACATTTTGCAATCTTACAACGTAGCGGTGATGGAGATGGATTTATGAGTTCTGAATTTCAACATACTTTGCAAGGACATGGCATGCAAGATATGCCAATAGGTGTGAAATATTTATAATTATATATATCCTATTTAAAAAAATTTGTTTTAATTATTTCATTATTATAGACGTTGCATTTGGTTCGCAGATATCTATTAAACATGTTAATACACATGGAGGATATTTACACTCTCATAAGCACAATTATCCTGGAGGTAGCACACGTAAGTACTGTATCTAATCCACGTTCTATTAAGTAATTTTCAGTTACTTCAAAATAATTTTTTTTTTTGATTTAGAACAACAGGTCACCTTATATCCACATAAAGACGACAATAATTTCTGGGTTTTACAAAATCAAACCGATCCCGAAGTATCATACAACGAAATTGTTCCTAATTGGGTTCGTAACGGTGATATAATTCGGCTTGAACATATCATGACTTTCAAGAGGTTACATAGTCACGATGTAAGGCCTCCAGTTACTGATGTAGAATTTCAGAATGAAGTCAGGTGTTTTTTTTTTGCAAAATAAATATAAATTATTTATATATATTATCCAGTTCCATTTAACGTTAATTATTATTTCTTTCATAGTGCTTATGGTTATCAAGGATTTGAGGGAGATGCAAATGACTTTTGGCGTGTAGAGATTGCAGAACATGATAAATCAGATCCTGAATCTAAAGAGCGCCTTCGTACACTTCACACAAAATTCCGACTTCAACACACTATTACAGGTTGTTATTTATTTTCCCATTCCGTAAAATTGCCTGATTGGGCTTATGGTCAGCAAGAGGTTACGTGTATAAAGGGCGGAAGTTATCCGAATACACTTTGGTATATTGAGGCAAATTCGCATCCAAAACGTAAGTACAAATTGTTGAAATATTTTAACATTCACTAAGCCAGATTAAATGAAATTTAACGATTTTGTAGTTCCGGAAGACTCTGAGAAAGTGAATTATAGGAGACCAGGATTCTTTAGAAAGTTAATTGAAATTAATAAAGTGATGTGGAATACAAATTCTGGACTAACGGAATCTCACCCTTATGACTCTCATCCGTCTTCTTGGATTTTCATGAGACGTGGAATTAACTTCTGGGGTAAAGAACACCGTCAGATTTATTTAATAGGGAATCCATTAACATGGTGGTCTTCTACATTTGCCTTATTTATATTTATTGTTGCAAAATCTGTTTTAATCCTGAGAGCAAAAAGAGGTTATAAGGATCATTTAAACTGTAAGGATTTTTTTTGTTTTAAATTGCAAATTTTTGAGGTTCTGATTTTTACATAAATTAATATATATTTGATTATAGCGACTATAGTACATTTTGATTCCAATGCGAGTTTCCTTTTTGTTGGATGGTTCCTTCATTATTTTCCATTCTTTTTAATGAAACGACAACTTTTCTTACATCATTATTTCCCATCATTATATTACGCCATTTTACTTATTGGTATAGGATTTGATTTATTTACGATTCGATTAAAAAAAAGGGAACGTTACATAGCAGCCACAATATTTTTATTAGCAGTAATATATTTTTTTTCAATATTTTCCCCGATGGCTTATGGTAATCCATGGATAAAAAGTGAATGTCAAAGTGCTAAATGGTTAAATACTTGGGACTTTAATTGTGATCAACATTTTGATACTTATGACCAATTTTATAATGAAGATTTAAAAAATGTAGATCAAGCAAATATTATAACAAAAACTGAAGATTCTATATCACTTGATGATAATAATCAAAAGGAACCACACAACGTATCAAAAGATGATGTGGATCAATTGTTTGAGAATGATCATAATAATGATAATAATGATATTGTAAATATACTTAATGAAGATGAGATTCGAAACGATGATGACAGAGTAAATTAAGGAATATTAGTAAATGAGAAGAATATATGATGTACATCGTAGTGATGAATGAATCTTAGAATTTATTATAATTATAATTATTATTATTAAATTATTAAATTCGACTATCTTTTAAAAATTTAAAAAATTCAAATAAATATATTAAATCTGTCACCATATAATAAATCTCGTGACAATTAATTCCGGGCCCTGATGATGGTATGGGTACTATTCTAGGGAGTTCAATGATGAAGTAAGCGCGCATGTGTCGTTGAAATCAATGAGATCATCGAAATCTTGTTTATTTACCAAAAAAATTTCCCGATGCCAAGTACCCTAATTAATATACATTGTTTTTACGGAAAATTCATCGTTCCCCGTGCCATTTGAATGAATTAAATGAATTAACTCAAAGTTATTAATACAATTATGAAACTTCATGAAAAAAATTAATCACAAGATTGTCATATGAGCAAACGAAAAAACAAAAACAAAAATATTAAAGATTCTTTAGTTCGGGTTCCTGTAAATTATTTGCAGAAATTTATCAGTTTGCATTTAATATTATTTGTGCGATATAATAAATAAGTGGATGATTAAAGTAATTCTCAATAATGCTGTAATGCTGTTATATCACATGATGCATAGAAACACAAGGTTTATCATCCATGTGACTTGACAAATAATTTGTTTTTCATAAATGAAATCTAATTACGTTCCTTTACTTTGCAAAATAAATTATCTAAGAGAGAACTAATGAAATTTGGTTCATGTTACAACTTGCAGTTTCATTTTTGTTTTCCAATCCTAGAAAATTCAGTAACCGAAAAACCTTTTTGTAAAACAAAAAAAAAAATTTTTCGGAGAAGTTCCAATTTTAATTTAGAAGTTCGTCCATTAAAAAAAAATCCTGATCCAATCGCTATACCTGCTTTATCGGTTATATACTCCTAAATTCGAGAAATCGAGTCACGAGAGATTTTCACATGATTTATATTTGATAATTCTGACCGGGGTACTACGGTCAAATTAACTACCCTTTTGGTACGGAAACAAATTTGACTAACTAATTAATTCTCTTTAATCCGGGTCATGTTATTGATTCTTTGTCTGAGCGATTAAAATCGGTTTAGTATAAATGAGCAGCTGAATAGCACAAAACGCGTATCCTAATCAGATCTATAGAAAATCAGTATATTTATGTGCATGCACTAAAGCGATATGGCGATGACACGCGAAAAAGATGATTGGATTACAATGGGATGGGTAAACAATAATTATGATCTATCAAGGTGGGATGACTGAAGCTAATTGCGTATTGTTTCATCGGTCAAATCTGTAATCCGTAAAAGTAAAAGATTATATGGGACCCTTGCAATAGAGAGGGGTAATATGTTCAGTAACCTCATTTTTTATCACCCTTTTCTATTTCAAAGGTCCCACAAGTTGTTGCATTATTTGTTTTTTTTTTATTATTTGTAATCAAATTAAATCTCCTTTTAGAACAAGCTTACCAAAATTCCTCGAGGATTTCTTATTTCAAATGAACAGATGACCCTTTTTTTTATAACATGACAAATAATTCAGAACACAGAATTCTCTTAAATGCAAGAATTCATATCATATGACTTCCTCGGGTCACTTAGTGCTACAAACGTCATCATGCATTTATTTCGCACGTGATAAATAAATTCAAATCCTTCGATTTTGGGAGATTCATCTTTTCTAAAGGATCGAAATTCGATTTATTACAAGTCATCGATAAAATAAAGAAAGCAATCTTTGAAAGAAAGAGAACTTTGGCACGCCCAAGGACATTTTTCTTTCGTCCCGTCATAATTGCTGAATAATTAAAGGGCAATATGAAACACATCATCACAATGTGATTTGGTTTCGGAAAATTGCTTGGCAATTGTTTTAATTGGTTCAAGAGATTTTTATTTATCCTAAAATTAAACTAACAAACAAAACCTTGGCTGATCGTTGTTTAAAGCGTAGGTTAAACAAAAACTTTTATATGATGACCCAAAATGGTTAAGCAATATACGAATTTTTTTTATAAATAAAGCTCGAATTTTTTTTTTTTTTTTTCAGATTAAGCTTTTTAACTCTTAAGAACAAAAAAGATAAAAAAAAGTACAAAATGACCCCACCTTCACAAATCGCAACGAGGCCGTTTAAGACGAATACCCCGTCAAAACGTGGACGAAAGTCTTACACAACACCCGATGTCATTGACGTTACAGGAAGAACGCATTTCATGGTGGTTCGAAGGTTGCAGACGAACGCTAAGAAACAAAAGAAAAAGTTTAACGAATGTAAAAATTGCGAACAAAGTGATGAATATGTGGATATACTCGAAAAAAGAGTAAACTCATTGGAAAACCTAGCTAACAACCTTAAAAAGGTCACGAATGAAAGCCCAGCTACAAGAAACTCGGTTAATACCAACGAATTCAATTGCTATTCACATTTAGAAATGAGCAATATGCTCCGGTTCGCCAATTCAATTGGGGATGTCATACAAGGAAGAATACAAAATACCCAACAAAGTTTACCATCCACCACGATTGATGAGTTAATCAACGAAAATATAATATCCGATCTTTGGAATGTTCCCGGTCACGATATGTTTTAATTAACGTAAAGTTTTGCGCAAACAAAAAAATAATTGGCATTCCCAGAAATTAATATTTATTTAAAAAAAAAAAAAAAAAAAGAAAGAAAATTTCTTTAATTACTATCAACGCGTTCTACAAACATGATACCATTCCCTTACTTGCATTAAAAAATATTCGATTTTTTCCTTTCAATTCCATAGTTTATAATTTAAGCGTATTTAAGATTATATAGTTTTGGATAAAACTTTTTTTTTATTATCTTTTTTCATCTATATGAATTTATTTTCTCTTTGCATTTCTTTATTTATTTATCTGTCATCTTTTAATTTTTGTAATTAATATTCATTGAAATCATCAATAAAGTTTTCAAAGATTTTTTTCCTTCAAAAAAAAAGAGGTTACTGTAGCGAATGTTCCACGCATTTCATTCATAGCATTTCGTTGTTTGATTACCAGTAATTAAATTTCTTAATCTTCCAATCGAAACCGCGGTAGAAAGCTATGTGTTGTTTAATATATTGTAATCCATTTTACAGCAGAACTGAAACATAAAATAATTTACTTATTAAGTTTCATTTATACAATGACATTTATATTAATATTGATTGGTAATTAATAGATGGGGTTTTTTTTTCTTTTTTCTGCCATAAATTTAAAAGTACTTCCATAAAAAGACGTTCTATGGAAACAGCCAAATTAACAAAAATAAGCAGGGTCTACATACAGGGTTCGGAATTTTTAACACGTATTTTATGACAATTTTAATGGATAAACGTGTTCTAATTATTCTCATTATCATACACAAATCAGGAGTCATGAATGCGCACAAACAAAACATTGGATTGTCAAACTTCAAAAAAAAAAAAACTAATTATTAAAAAACGGGGGTTAGTGTACATACATTAAATACATTAATTAACTTTTGGATGGATGAACATGGATGAACATCATTTTTAATTTCGGAAAATTAAGTTTCATGACATTTATTTCATAATTTCGTCACTTTAGTACCTTTTTTTCTTTTTTCTTTTTTCTTTTTTTTCTTTTTCTTTTTTATTTTATTTTTCTCCGCAGCTCCTTTCTTCTCCTGAATCTTAAATGGGTTTTTTTCTTCCTATAAGGTAGGATTTAAATGATAGATCTATAAAGAAATGGATTTTGGTTATTCAAATCGACCTTTTGTTATTTCTGGCGAATCAAGTAACGACTAACTCAACCTATATTAAGCCATATGAATTGTGTGGAAAATTCATGAATGTGATGTTTCACATCATTCAACTCACCTGAATTGTCCATACCCGCTTTTGTTCACAGATGACTATTATTACACGATTCCTTTTTTGAAACAACAAGTGTTATTTTATCGAAAAATACTTGACACAAACGACAACTTTGCTTATTATGCCTTAATAAAGAAAAATCCTCAAATTTTGGCTTAATGACTGCATCTTTAATTGTCACGTTCCCCAACTTTATTACCGCTTTAAAAGGATTATTTATAATATGCATGCGAAAATTATATTTATGCAAGGATTTATTAATCAATTTTCTTTATGCTTTATCAGTTAGATGAAAATCATTTTTAATGGAATAATGATAATACCTAAAATAAAAAATTAATATTATCGTAACCCCTAAACAATATATGTGTGTGGATTGATAATCTATTTTTCTTTTTAATTCTTTTCAGAGTCCCCTTACAAAAAGCATCATGTCAAATTCAGTTTTCAAATAATTATTAAACCGCAAAAGTTTTAAAGGGTCCGATTATGTAACTGACAAAACAGCTCTTGGTGTCAATAAATGTTCATGTTTTTTCTTTTTCTTTTTAATAATAAAAAAAAAGACATCATGTGCGAATTTTTTTTTCTTTGACCAGATATTAGAATAAAGAAAAAAGTCCATGTCATTATTATTAAGATTTTTCTTTGCAGGTAAAAAATGACAAATAAATCCCTTGTAATTGTTCCTTAAATTCCTTATCTTTGAAATTTTAATTAATTGCCCTCACCGGTTTGCTCCGACACGACATCAAACGTTCAGGAATTTCTGATAGCATTAAACGTCCTAAATTGAATTTTATTTATTAAACCACCAATATGAAATATGATCCACTATAGTGTCCATACTTGGTGATTTAAATGATCAATCAAAACTTTCGGGATTATCAATATCATTTGAATAAACAAGTTTTTCTTTTTTTTTTTTTTTTTTTTTTTTTTTGAGAAACAGTAATTTAAATTTTAAAAAAGGAAAAGGTGGAAACTGTTGCATCCTTGTTTAAAACGTTCGGGATGAACTTTTAATAGTAATTCGAAATTTAATTTGAAACCGAGGACAAATCAAATTTTCTTGTAATTAAATAAATGGGTACATAATTTTATCATATTGGGATTTAATAACAATTTTTGGATTTA